CCTATCCTCCTCCCAGCATCCTTTCTTCCTGAAAATCCTGCCTAGCTATTGTCCATCAGCTCTTTATTAACAATGAGAGCAACACATTTTCACAGTGTACAAAAAGGATTATTCTATAGCATTTTTTCCTTTTTATCTAATTAAAAAGGAAGGTTTTAGCTTTAACATAGCAAAATTATATACAACAAAAGCAGTTATCAAGAATTGCAGTTACACTATCCAGTCCAATTGTATTTGGCAAATTTGGAGACAGTATTCTATTATCTTTGTGAATCTAAACATTTTATACTTAATTTACTTTTTATCATAACTCAGGAAAACTTTAAGTCTAATTATTAGTCTTTAACTCCATCAAAGACCCCAGAAGGGTGTAATGTTACCTAATAACAGGGACATCTGGCTGCCTGAACAGTCACCCAGAGTTCTTCTGCAGCGTTGAGGCATCCAACTTTGGCCTACAGGCCTAGTACAGACATTCTTGAAGAGCAGGGAATTTTGAAGGACTGTCCTATGTCGTCTTGGAAAAATTTGGCATTGCTTTCTTTTGCTTCCTGCTGGTTTATTTTTGACAGCATACTGCCAGCAATTGAGGCAAGGGCAGTTTTTTTTCTGTTGTTGTTGTTTTTTGTTTTCCCAAATGGCTACCTTTTGCCATAAAGAAAGCAAATTCCATATGGAGATTGTTTAATGCCCACCATCTTCTTTTGAAGGAAAGTGGTGTATCTGACTGTTATAAAAAGACTTAGGTTATTAAACACATTAAATGCCATATTCTGTAGGTTTTTGAAGTGTTTGAAGATTATCTATCTAAATATATCTGTTTAACCTTGAAAACATACCTAATATGACTACAAGTTTGATTATTATAGATGGCTGTTAACCTGTATTTCTTAATTATACATTACATTTTTAAATGAACTGCATAAACAATACCCCAATGAAGAGTAGAAAATACATACAGTATAGCAAAAATAATTTTAAATTTATATCAATAAACAAAAATCCATACCAATGTAAAATATTTTGAGATTAATAGTTGTGTTTTGGATTAAGGTAGATTTAATAGTCTACCCTTTTATCTCATCATTTTTCCTTTTAGAAAGAGATCTTTGAATTTAACTCCTTTGTTTATTAGCTTTTTTCCTGACTATGACCAATAACAACTTGTAACTAACTCCTTTAAGTGATGACAAACATCCGCAATCAATCTTTTGGGAATGTGGGTATTGTTTTCTCTAAACTGTGTCTTACTGTTTGAAGGTTCTGGCATCTTTGGGGGAACCTTGAGAAAATTTAGGGTAATGGTTAAGTCTAGGCTGGAGTAGCCTATGAGGCTAGACCATCTCAACCAGCAGCCTTGAAGCTGCCTGGATGCAGAATTTGAGGAAGCTATAACCAAGGCACTCTGAAATGCTGGATTACCCGAGCCATTTGTTTTCATTAGTGTTTGGTCCCCTTGCTCTGAAAATATATGAACTTTTAAAGGTAACATACATATCTGCATTAATAAAGCATAGACTATGTGTTACAGACAAGCTAGCCAAGGATAATTTTTTTGTTTTATGTTTGAGTAGGTAAAATATACATCACATATTTTGTAGTTTTTTTACGTTCATTTCTTTATATCTATAGCCAGGATTTTCAGGGGGGGGGGGTCTTTTTCAATCAAACCTCATCCATATCAACTTGGAATGAATCTACAGTCTCTCATTTTCTGTAGAAGTAAAAACATACCCAGAAGCACTCCCAAATAACAACACAGAGACTTATTATTAATTATAAGTGCTCTGTTGATAGCTTAGGCATGTTACTAACTAGCTCTTACAACTTAAAATAATCCATATTTTTAATCTATGTTCTACCACGAGACTAGGTACCTTATCTCAGTATGGCATGTCCATCTCCTTCCTCTGCCTTTAAGAGGTTTTATTTATTCTTAAGAATTAATAAATAGCAATATTTTTATTGTATATAAATTGTTTTGAAGTCTGTACACCCGAACAGTTAAAGGTTACCTACAAATTTATAGCTTTTCTTAGTTGTAATTTTTTATGGTAAAAGCACATAGCACACACACCCTATTTGCAGATTTTAGCATGTCATCATTAATGATTGTTACCTTGATGTGCAAGAATCTTTGAGTTTATTCCTTATAAGTGTGATTATGTATTCTCTGACAAGCATTTTTAGTTTCTCCCTGACCTCTTAGTTACCCTGGTCTCCAGCAGTCACCATTACACTCTCTTTCTAAAAGCAGCCTCTTTTTTTTTTTTTTTTTAGATTCCACATATGGTTAAGATCATGCTGTTTTGTGCTTGGTTCATACCACTTAAACCTTCTAGGTTTATTCATGTTGTAACAAATGACAAGATGTCATTATTTTTATAGTTGCATAGCAGTCTGTTTCTCTCTCTGTGTGTGTGTTTTCATTCATCAGTGACTGGCATAGGCATTTAGGTGGTTTGGTCTTGAATGTTGTGACTAGAGCTTTGGCAAACATAGAAGTGTGATCTTTTGACAACATTCTGACTGTACCTTTGGATATATAACCCAGCAGCAGAACTGACAGGTTCTTCCTGTCATGTTCTCTCTTGAATTTTCTGAGGAACTTTACACTGTTGTCCATAATGACTCTTTCAGCTCTTACATTCTCACCAAAAGTAATGCACAAGTTCCCCCTTTCCACCTCCTCACCAACACTTACTGTCTTTTGTCTTTTTGTTAAGAGTCAGTCTAATTGGAGTGGGTGATGTTTGTGTTCTTTCCTGTGTGTGTTGCTAGGGCCATGCTAGACTAGACAGGTTCTCTGCCACTATGCTGTTTCTCAGCCTCTCCTTGTGGGTTTGACTTACGTTTCTCTGATGGTAGTGATGCTGACTTTTTTCCCCACGTACCTTCAAATAACTTTTACCATTTTTAAATTGAGTTCTTTGTACTTTTTCAGTATACTTGTTTGAATTCAGTGTAAAGTTTTAAGTGTTGACTGTTCATTGTTACTTTACAGTTATTTTCCAGTCAATAGATTGTCTCTGTATTCTAAAGACTATTTCCTTTGCTGTATAGAAGCTTTTTAGTTTGAGATAATCCCATTTGTCTAGCTTTGCTCTTCTTGCCTATACTTCTGAAGTCTTATCCAAAAAAATTCTTGCCCAGGCAAATAGAATGAAGCATTTGTCAGTTTTATATTTTACTCCCTTAGACTGAAACTCTTGATTCTTAGTGACCTTACTGATATCAAATACTTTATCTACCAAAAATCTGTTAAATTTCAAAGCAACAATACTGGTATTAATGTTTTAAACATTTTATATTCATGTTAAATATTTGCATGGTTTCAATGTCAGAATTGTAAAACCAAACTGTAAGAATGAAATCTAGCTGGGCGGTGGTGGTGCATGCTTTTAATCCCAGCACTCGGGAGGCAGAGCCAGACAGATATCTGTGAATTTGAGGCCAGCCTGGTCTACAGAGCATGATCCAGGACAGGCACCAAAACAACACAGAGAAACCCTGCGGGGGGGGGCGGGGGGGAGATGAAATCTAAATTTCTTCCAAAGGGTCTCTCAGTTTCTCTCACTGGTGGTCTCTTTTCTTTTTTCCTTCTTTGGAGGTAGAATAGGGACAAATGTTTAAGCTGGAACATACATGTGTACATGTGTGTGTTTGTGTATATATATATGCATTTATATTTCTCCCCTGCATTTCTTAGGCTTTCACATCTGGCTGTTTTTTCACTTTATAGTGTATGCTGAATATTTCATTTTAGAAATATACAGAGGTTTCATTCCTTTATCTAATAGCCTGGTATTTCATATTATGAGTGCCTATCCTTAATTAAACCAGTCTCTGGGAGATACTTGGGAAAATTATAACTTTAAAAGAGATATTTTCAATTCTCTAGACAACAACATTGCTTCATCGGTCAGAGGAACTGTTTGATACAGTTTGAAAAGCATTTTAATTAAAAACTCATTGGATTTATATATCATGTTCATTTGTCACATGTTATGTGTAGTGTGCTGGAGAGGAATGTGTTTTTGACAGGAAGGTCACTTTCTTGTGACTAAGCCACACTTTGTACTCTGCATCTTTAGAGCTTGTACTTGTTTTGGACCACTCTCACTCCAGTATAATTGCATCCATTCCTTGCTCATAGGGCCCAGAAACACACCCTCGCATTGTGTGTGCCGCCCAAGAAGAGCTTGTAGCTCATGGACTTTCTGGTTCTGCTATGAAGTGATCTGCTCCTAAGCCAGGCGGTTATTGGCTTTGTTAAATATGTATACCTTGTGTTAATAATTCAGATTTAAAGAACTTTGGTAATGAATTGTGATTTCCTCCTTATAAATCCTCCATGGATTTTACCCGATTATATGATCTAAATTACATATTGGCTTTTATCCACCGTCTCTTTTGAGAACTCATGCTCCAACTTTAATCTCTAATATTCCTTTAGTATTCTCTAAATGCTTGTCCTAGAGAGAAAACAATGCAGCCTTAACTTAGCAAATATTGTAAGTACTGCTGCCTCTTCTTGAGCACTCCAAAGGCCCTGGGATGCATAATGTGATTTACTTCCTGCTTATTGCCCTCCTCCTAGCTTCTATGCTGTGAAGGCATAATTATTGTTGCTGTCTTTTTGTTCAGATGTCCATCTGTCATACTTACTGTGCTATGTTTTTGCATTGTCTAATTTGATTCATATAACAACCTTATTGTAATAGAAATTATCCTTATTGTAGCATAAAAAGTGAGGGCATCACAGTTTATGCACTTTTAAGGTTCACACAAACAGTAAGTAAACAGTAGCGTCAGAATTTAAGCCCAGGCAGTGAGTCCAGAGCCTGGTTCTGATAACCAGTATAAAGTCATGACTGAGTATTTTCTTTTCTCTTTCACTAAGAAAGATGTCACTAAGTAATTGTAATGTTTCTGACTTTTGGACTAATCTGCTCACCCTAACTGAGTGATAGCTAACTTCTTTTCATGCATTCTTTTAGCTGATATAGCCCAGAGGTACAGGATAAGCAAATACCCAACCCTCAAATTATTTCGCAATGGAATGATGATGAAGAGAGAATACAGGGGCCAACGATCAGTGAAAGCGCTTGCAGACTACATCAGGCAACAGAAAAGTAACCCAGTTCACGAGATTCAAAGTATAGATGAAGTCACCACTCTTGATGTAAGTTAACTTATGGTGGATGAAATGTGCATTGCCTGTGTAATTAACACAAACCATAATATGAATGCAGACTCTGCATGTTCTCTTACAGTTTACTGCAGTGTATTTGACAATATGCATACTGGAAAGAATTTGTCTGGGATTAATTCTCAAGGGAAATGCCAATGATTGCTGAACTTCCAGATAAATGTATAACATGTAGTAAAGCTGCACTAATTGAGTTAATGTAGTACAAAGAGAAGCCTGAACTATAAACAGAAGTAAATCAAGCATGCACACCAAAGTTTGCCTATTTGCTGTGGTTGACACCTGCAGAGTATCTGTTTTAGTCTCTGTTCAGCTCTATTATGATTTGGTGCCCTTTAAAAGAGCCCCTTTTGATAAACTTAGCAAACTTGTTTCTTTGTAAGTTAAGTAATTAAACACACACACACAACACCAAAAGCAAAAACTATAGTGTTTAGTCTTTATTCCAGTTGTTATCAGGTGACATGTTAATAAATTAGCCCGTTACCATTTCGCGGTTGTTGTCAGAGGACCATGAGTCCTGAGTCAGAGATGAATGATGTTATTGCTTACATCACAGCAGGCCTTGTGAGCCTATGAGCCTTTCTTGTTATTGCCGTCTCCTAGCCCCTATGTCTTGTGAGAACATGCAAAGGACCATGATGAATGCTTAACAGGCAGTGGGTTGTGGTACAGGAAAAGATGGCTAGGCTAGGGGAGCTTGCCATTTCAGAGCAAACAGCAAATTCTCCTTTGTTGTCTTGAACAAAACAATCTGCCATACCTTAATATTTTGGCTGCAATCATGCCCCTGAGAACTGACCTTTTTAGAGAGTGGACAGGGTCTTATGTAGTAAGCATAGGCAGTACCATGTGGAGACATGTGAGGGACCCATGGAGGAGTCTAAATTAATACAGTTTTAATGAATTGATAGTTACATTTTATTGTAGCAATACTGTTTTCAACCCAGCATAATTGTTGATAGTTTTGGACTAGGCATTAAATGCTATCACTGGATTCATAGTTATTCTTCAGTTGCAGATAACTGAACCACAACTAGAGCTGAGTTCCAGAATAAAGAGTAAATGAAGTAGCATGCTCCTAAAACTATATATGTCGCAAAATAATTAGATACTTTATTTTACAGCGCAGTAAGAGAAATATCATTGGATACTTTGAGCAGAAGGATTCAGACAATTACAGAGTTTTTGAAAGAGTAGCAAGTATTTTGCATGATGACTGTGCCTTCCTTTCTGCTTTTGGGTAAGTATATTAACCAGCAGCCTGCTAGGAGGTGAGCTTGGTTATCCCATTCAGTTCTTGTTGTTTTTGGTCATGTTCTAAAGATGACCTCTCCAAAGATGACCTCAATCCTTTTAAAGACACCAATCAGTTATACATATGGCCAATCCTCTAAGGGCCTCAAAGTGTTTGTCGTGTTATGTTTCAGAATGTAGGTAAAAACATAGGAGTGGCCTAGTTAACAGTGAGCTCTTTCATGCCCTGATTTCAATTCACTGACCTTTATGCCAGATAAACTGCTAACCCATGACTGCCCAACTGGCTGAGAATGTTCTCTTTCTAGTTAAGAAGCATAGGTTTTGTTATCTTCCTTTATCCCCATATCTTTACCACCTTCCTTCATTTCTTTCTTGTCTGAAAATAGCACCAACCCCATACACCCTTCCCTCTGCTGGGGACCAGAACCAGGGCTTCTACATGCTGAGCCTGTGCTCCACCTGATCTGAGCCCCAGCCCTACAGTTCGCCCTTCTAAGACTGATCTCTTCATTCTTGGAACCTGTCCTTGTAGCTCTTTATCCCTGGGACTTTGACCCATTAGTTCTCCCTGCTTTCTCGTGGTTTTACCCTGACCCTTACAGAAACTGATTTCTCTTTCCGAAATCCCGTTCCTCTCTTTTCTGACTCACCACTTTCATCTCTTGAGCTATAATGCTATGTCTTTCTTTTCATTTCTACTTTTTTAAAGGCTAGTTTATGCTTGGTTATCTTGACTTTCTCAAAGTCTTCCAAATAAAAACTCTCAGCTCTTTGGAAGCTGGCTTACACCTCCATCCTTCTAACAAAGCTTGTCTCCGAATAGTCACAATATGACTCCTTGATTGGCTAACCCAGCAGATTTTCTTCAGTTTGATCTCAAATTTCCTGAAGACTGAGACATCACCTCCCCTCTTTTTTCTCTTGTCAACACTTGACATTGAGTCCCTCTGGTTTGCCCCTCACAGTTCCTTTTTCCCCTTTTGTTCTTTTTTATCTCTGAATGGAATGATTCGAAGTTGTGTCCTTGACCCTCTCTTCTCTGACGTTATCTCAGCCACCTTTGGCTTTTGTACAGTGTGACTTCTTTTATTTGGGGCTCTTAACAGTTGTATTAGTCTGGTTGCAGTAGCTGTTCTGATACCTTCTCCAGTTGATGACTTATGCTCCGACTCCTTGCTTTCATACTTTTGTGGGTTTTTTTTTTTATGTTTCACTGTGAACATTATCAGTGTTTCTGAAGATCACTGTACAGCATGGGCAGGGAACACCTCCAGCCTGGGCTTTTGCTTCACTGATGTCTGGTTACATAGCCCACCCCAGATACTCTGAGCTAGCCTCTGCCTCAGAGCCTTTGAACCTGCTGCTCTTGTCTGGAAGTAGTTTTAGATTTTTAGAGTTTCCAGAGTAGCTGCACTAATGTGCATCCCCACCAACAGTGAATGAAGGTTCCTCTTTTTTCACAACCATACCAGCATTTATTGTCAATTGTGTTGTTGATCTTAGCCATTCTGAGTGGGATGAGATGAAATCTCAAGAGTTGTTTTAATTTACATTGCCCTAATTGCTAAGGATGGTGAACACTTTTTAAGGTATTTCTTAACTATTTTTATTCCTTCTATTGAGAACTCTCTATAGAAACCTACTCCACATTTTAAATTGGGTCATTTGTTTCCTTGACTTTGTGTTTTTTGAGGTTTTTGTATATGCTGGTTATTAATTTTCTTTGAGATGCATATTGGCAAAGATTCTCATTCTGTAAGTTTCTTTTCACTCAGTTGTTTCTTAGCTATACAGAAGCCTTTTCACTTTACAAGGTTCCAGTTATCAGTTGTTAGTCTTAAATTCTTGACTAATGGAGTTCTGTTCAGAAAGCCCTTTTCTTGGGCTGGAGAGATGGCTCAGCAGTTAAGAGCACTGGCTGCTCTTCCAGAGAACCTAGGTTCAATTCCCAGCAAACACATGGTGGCTAACAACCATCAATAGTGGGATCTGATGCCCTCTTGTGGCATAAAATTGTGCATACAGATAGAGAACTCATACATTAAATAAATAAATCTTAGAAAGTCCTTTTCTTCACCCACATCTTTCTGCCTTTCTTCTAGCAGTTTTAGTGTTCCAGGTTTTAAATACATCTGGATCTAATTTCTTTGCAGGATTATAGATATGGGTCAAATTTAATTCTTCTGAATGTGGACATCTAGTTTTCCCAGAAACCATTTGTTGAAGATGTCATCTTTTCTCCAGTGTATGTATATTGGTGCCTCTTTGTCAAATATCAGATGGTTGTAGATGTTTGAGTTTTCTATTTTTTTCTCTTGATTTCATGTCTTTTTTGTGCCAGTATCATACTGTTCTTTTATTCTTTTTATGGCTCTCTAATATATCTTAAGATCTGGAATAGCAGATTGTTTTAGCTATCCAAATTCTTTTCTGGTTCCATATGAATTTAAGATTTTTTTTCTATTTCTGTGAAGGGTGTTGTGGATGTTTTGATTGGGGCTACACTGAATTTTGATAGGATGGATATTTTTACAGTATTAATGATCATTTTTGCAATATTAATATTAATTGGTAATATTCTACCAATCCATGAACAGGATGTCTTTCTCAATCTCTTCAGAGATTTGAAGTTTTTATTGTAGAGGTCTTTTACCTCCTTGGTTGGATTTATTCTAAGATATTTTATTATCTTTGATGCTGCAGTAAATTGGAAGTGT